TCCATCATGGTCTGAAAAATGACAAGGAACAACAGAGGTGGAGAGGTTGTCACTGCCACAGTTTGTGAACACGTTGTCACCAATGGAACACTTCATACTGTCAAAATAATTTTTTACTCGTTTTTAACTATGCAGATATATTCGCTTCCCATCCGTGGAAGAGTAAAAAAGCAGCGGATATATCCGCAACCCGTCTTTGAAGATATTAACATGACGACGTTAGGCAATAAATAAAGAACAATATGTAAACAATAAATAAAGACAACATAGTGTAGAGCGCGAAACGTCGAGGGGTGAGCGTAGGAGGGTGGGTGGTGTGCGGGAGAGGGGGTGTCGTGTGAGAGAGGGGGGAGCGCGGGAGAAAGCGCAGCCATGGAGAGAGCAGGAAAGTGGCGACATGGTACCGTGAAACATCTGGTTACTGCTCAAGCACCTGCCAGTCTGTCTGAAGAGAAGGCGGATATATCCGCTTCCCGTCCAGAACATCAAAAACCATAAGCGGATATATCCGCCACCCGTCCTTTATCGCCAAAGACTTAGGCGGATATATCCGCTTCCCGTCCAGAACATCAAAAACCATAAGCGGATATATCCGCCACCCGTCCAGGAAGGGTTAAAAGATTGAGGAGTCTGATGACCGAGGTACTTGACTTAGTAACGTCGAACTGGGCATTAACATCACCACCAATTATAATTTTGTAATTGGGCCTTTTTGAGATAAGATTGAGTATTTTTTCCAGGTTTTCAAGAAATAGCCATACACTGCTATCTGGTGTGCGGTTTCAAATAGAGATAAGAATAAGCTTATGCTTACCAGTACTTATAACTACAGCACACGCTTCAATAGACTTGTCAATGCATATGTCTGAAAGGTTAATTTCATAGCACTGAAATACACTTTTGGAAAAAATTAAAGTTCCACCTCTGCTAGATCTAGGTGCTATCTAGCAGAGGTGGAACTTTATTTTTCCACTTGTCTGGAGCCGCCCCGGCTCCAGAGGGTAGGCCAGGTAGGCCCGGGCCTCCTCAAAATGTTGGTAGATATTTCAAAATTATAAATTAGTAAATACATTTAATTATATGTAAATAAAAAGGAAAAGCATTCAAACTAATTATTTTGCTTTTAAATTTTGAAATTCCCCCTTTTTGCAGGGAAGCTCTTCAAACCTCTGGTCCCCCAATCAAAGTCTTTCTTGATCCTTGTCAGGCCTACCCAAAAAATTATTCCTGGAGCCGCCCCTGCTGCTAGAGCTATCACGGGCAAATTTACTGATTAGGTTGTAGCCCTTAAGGGTACAGAAGTCTATATTTATTTTAGATATCCAATCTTCAGAGAGACATATGAAATCATAATTATGTTGCAGTGACATATCTTCTAATAAGGTTTGTTTATCGCCATAACCTTGAATATTTAGAAACAGGAGTGTTTTTTTTTTTTTTTTTTTTTTTTTTTGTCCTAGGACGCTAGGCACGAGCCTGGGATTGCTTTTCACATTACTTCAGGCTAGACCTAGGGGTTGCAGCATTATCACTTAGATAAAATCCATTGGTGACTTGGCGGGGATCGAACCCGGGACCTGTAGATGGGGTGTTGAACATTCCTAAACGGAAGAATACATTCACCACAACTTCTGAATTGCTTTTTTAATGGTAACTGTGATGTGAATTTAATTTGTTTGTGCTTCCAGACCAATTGATTGACAAAAATAAATAAAAAGATTAAAATACCTGATTTATCACCTTGTGGTCCAAAGTTTGTCCTACTGGATTGAGGTTTAGTTTTCAGGTTTGGAATGGTTGGTTGCAGAGGGCAACTAACCGGCTAAGTTGTAAATTCCTACATCTCAATGGTCGGGCGAGCCAGAAGGGCTCCCCACTTGTTACCTGACTTAGCCAAGCATAATTTGAACTTATATTCCTACATACTAACTACAAATAAACTTATCCATTTATGACGGGAGAGACGGTCGGAGTTTTTCGGGTTGTTTTCAGTGTGGAGGTTCGTTCAGCAAGAAGGAGGAGAGGAGTCGAAGTAGGTGGGGAAGTGGGGAGAGACGTTGATGCAATCGCGGCAGGCAACGAGTTGAACATGCAGCCCGGCTTTGCAAAATGCACACACTATAAAAAATATAGCGTGCCGCTATGCGTCACACAATAAAATTCAAGCGCACAGCTGATTTCTAGCATTGAACGTCATTGGCTCCATAGAGGTATTTTTTTAAAGTTGAGGACTCAATGTTATTTAAATGGGTTTCATTACTTCACCGAGTGAGTTTTTGAAACTTTACTTCACTCGTGAAGTAAAGAAGTCGTTTACATCACGCTTGGGATAGGAAAGTTTAACATGGCTGGTTGGGTAAAATATTCACCTGCTTAATGTAAAAACGCTCTTACTACACTTGTAAGGTAAATCCTATCCTATACTCTAATACGAGCAATGTTTGCTTGTATGTATGCTTGCTTGCTTGCTTGCAGAAAGATCTCGAAAACGGCTCCGACGATTTTCTTCAAATTTTGTAAATAGTTTATTTTTGGCCTAAAAACGAGTTAACTGCAGTTAGAACTGCAAAGACAAATCTAATAACGTAGAAAAATGAAACTGAAAGTCACATTTTTTTTAACATTAGTCTAATGGGTTGCTAAGTAACCATGTTGGTTGAATGAAATAACAAGGAAAAAGTAAACAAAAGACTTGTAAGTTGTAACACATGTGTTCATAAAGGCATCTACCCACAGTGTAGTAGAAATTATAAAATACAGTACAAAAGCAAAAACATCACTTGTTACTATTAAGCAATGATTATACTGAAGCTTACTCGATACATTGTAGCAAAGGTTAACTTAGCAGTGCGGAGTGTGGGATCTATTATTACGATTAGATTAAGGTAGATTTCCCATCCTTATGGAACAGCTGAATCCAATTTTATTGTTAGTTCTGTCCGTCTTCTGTAGATGTCGGGCTTTGTTTACAATTTGTTTCTTGTTATTTCAGTAATTTAAAACCTCGTTTAACCAAATAAAACTATTTAATCACAAACGATAACTTGTTCACTATCTTACCGTACTGTATTACTATATTACTATCGTTGGCTATATAACCAAACAGTGGTCAGTGAGACACAAATAATGAGAAACTAACCAAAAAATAATATAAACAAATTGTAAACAAAACACGACATCGACAGAAAACCAAACAGAACTAACAATAAAAGTGGTTTCAGCTGTTCCATAAGGATGGTAAGGTATCTGCAATCCTAAAATGCTATGGGAAGGTAAGGAAACAGGTCCGTGACATAGGAAGTGGTGAAGGAAGTAGTCAATGCGAGCTATCCTGAGTGCGGGAACTATTTATGACGATTAGATTAAAGCATTAAAGTATCTGCAATTATAAAATGCTATGGGAAGGTAAGGAAACGGGTCCGTGACGTAGGAAGTGGTAAAGGAAATAGTAAAGGTGAGCGGGTCGGAGTGTGGGAACTGTTTATGAGGATTAGATTAAGGTATACCCAATCCTAAAATGCTATGGGAAGGGAGAGAAACAGAGGTCCGCGACGAAGGAAGTGGTGAAGGCAGCAGTAAAGGTGAGCGGTCCGGAGTGTGGGAACTGTTTATGACGATTAGATTAAGGTATACCCAATCCTAAAATGCCATGGAAAGGGAGGGAAACAGGTCCGCGATGTAGAAAGTGGTGAAGGAAGTAGTAAAGGTGAGTAGTTCGGAGTGTGGGAACTGTTTATGACGATTATATTAAGGTATCTACAATCGTAAAATGCTATGAGATGGGAGGGAAACAGGTCCACGACGTAGGAAGTGGTGAAGGAAGTAGTAAAGGCGAGCAGTCCGGAGTGTTGGAACTGTTAATGACAATTAGATTAAGGTATCTACAATCTTAAAATGCTATGGGAAGGGAGGAAAACAGGTCTGGGACGTAGGAAGTGGTGAAGGAAGTAGTCAAGGCGAGCAGTCCGGAGTGTAGGAACTGGAAACCAATTGTAACAGTTAGATTTATGTATCGGAAATTGAAATACTGAAATGCTATGAGAAGGGATGGAAACATGTCCAAGACATAGGAAATGGTGAAAGAAGTAGTAAATGCTAGCAGTGCGGAGCGTGGGAAATGTTTGTGGCAATCAGATTAATGTATTTAAAATACTAAAATGCTATGGAAAGAGATGAAAATAGTTCCACGGCGTAGAAAGTAGTAAAGTTTAGCATCGCAGATTGTGGGAACTGGGAACTGTTTGTGGCAGATAGATTAATGTATCTGTAATACTTAAATGCTATGATAAAGGAAGGAAACAGGTCCATGACGTAGGAAATGGTGAAGGAATGTAAATGCTGGCATCGCAGAGTGGGGGAATGATTTTCCCTGAGCAAAGCTCGGTCCCCAGGTACTAGCTATTACATAACTATGTGGTAGGTTTATTTATATTATTGATTATGGATATAAAGAAAGATTCTATAACCATAAGTTATGGAAATTATGTTATTGATATATTTTAATGTGAACAGTAGGACAATTACAGTGTAGGTCACTTTTTACAAAAAATTGGTGGCTCTTAATTTATAAATTCGATCCACTTAACAAGTGTTTGGATTAGGCGGTATAGTACATCTTCCCGTTGCAAAGCACGGGTAAAGCAGCTAGTTCCATTTAACTTATACATAAATGTATAGGCAGTATTTAACTTTTAAAAATAAATGTTCAGTTCGGTACTATTTACTGTGGGTTTCAAATTACAGAAGGGTTTCTTGACAGAATTGAGGGAATATTGTTAAAACGTGAATGAATAGGTTTTTCAATGTGGCGGGAGGGTAAAACTAATTTAAAATAGTTTAAATGACTAGACTAGTCTATTATCTATTTTTAAAGCTAATCATTATTTGATAAGACAAAGTAGTTGATAGTCCCATCACTAGTTTCCAACCACTATGTAGGCTACATATAAGATTTATTTTCTCTATAAGTTTTTAATCTTGTTGAATTATTTCTTCTGCAGGAATAGACAGTTTTAACTAAACTAATTCAGGATTGTGCCAAAGTCTCAATATAATCTATTGAAATGGATTATAATGCTACTTCCCAAGTACATAATGGAACTCTAGCCGAAGAGAAACCCAGGTACGTTACATTTTTTTTTAGTGATCTTGGTACATGCCTTTGAATTCAAATTTCACTGCTTATAACATATTATGCTGAGAAGGATTTTTTAAACCCATTTTCCATTTGTTAAACCTGTTGGTACCTACTTGGTTTATTTACTCACCACTCAAACACTACCAGGCTTTAAACCTCACCATCTGTGTTGTAAAATTTCCAAAAGTTTGAATTCACGCAGAGAAAAGCCCTGTGGTCCGATCTGAACCATTTCAGATTTAAAATATTTTCCCATGATCAGTTACTATGATTGAGCTAAATTTGGTGCAGATTGGTTCAGCCGTTCAGGAGGAGTATTTTTAAAACAAAAGCAGGAGTGTAGTATAAGACTTACTTAATAATAAAATGTTTAATATTGAATTAAAACTGAAAGAAAAAATTCCACCTGCGAACAAACCTTAGACCACTCAGGTTATTACGTCATTGTGACGTCAGCTTTGCCTAGGGGGTAAAATTCCACGGGGATAAAATTCCGGTGACACCGCAAAAGATCTTCACTATATCGCCATTAACGTTGGACTTGTCACTATACTTCTCTCCGATCTGTTGAGATGTCAAGGATTATCGCGACCGCGGGAATCAAAGATCATGTCCCCGCAAACTCTGAAGATCTTTACGATTTTGTCATGATCAAAGAAGACAAAGATTATGTCTCTGCGCTCCTGCAAGATGTTAACTATTTCTCTGCAGCCATAGGAGACATTTATCTTTTTGCCGTGATAGCAGAAAAAAGATGAAGTCTCTGGGATTGCACAAGATGTTCAATATTCCTCCGCGGCCACATGAGACGTTCATGATTCCGCCACGATCGGAGAAGATGTTAACAATTTCTCCACGGCCATAGGAGACATTCATTATTTCGCTAAGACGTTCATGTTCCCTCCGGGACCGCAGCAGATGTCCACGATTTTACTGTGACTGTAGGAGACACTTTAAATTTGGACGCAATTACAGACTATCTATAAATATCAATTAATGTACATATTTTAAATTAATTATTTCCAAAACTACCAGATTTTGATTCGAGGCCCTAATGTTATTTTTGACTCAACCCGAAAGAAATGAAAAATGTCTGGCCCCGACCTAAGATCCTTAATATTATTATTTCAAAAATTAAAAGACTTTTTTATTAGCTAGTCTCCTAGGTTTTTTTGCCGATCATATGGTTGGAAACAAAAGGTCAATTCATCATGTTGAAGCAATACCAGGGGGAATTCCAAACTGTTAAGTTCCAACATTTGAAAAATCTGAATATGGAGGGACCTCTTAGGTGATAGCCGCCGGGGGCCTCATAGATTCTAAATACGGCCCTAATCTGTATCAGATCACTTTTTGTCATCATGATCACAAACGATCAGATGGGGTCATCTATAGTAGGCTAGCCAATAGGACACCCAAGTGGTTTTCTGATCCGCGGTTTATTAGCGAATTTCCATATAGGGAATTAGCTATTACTGTAAGTCTCATGGTAACACCTAGGCCCGAGACCGATTTACTTTTTCATTTTGATGTCCCCAGAGGCCAAAAACACCATTCATTCAAATTTTTATATATGTATATATATATGTGTGTGTCCGTCCGGACGATAACTTGAGTCATTTTTGTCCGATTTTGATCAAATTTGGTTTAAAGGTGTAAGGTGGGATAAACTTTGAATGAGTTTGCGAACCAGTATGATCGGACCATGGGAACGGGGTTAAACGGGGGGTTTTATGTGGTAAAAATTGGGGTTTTCTCACTTTTTACCCTTAAAACACAGAATTTATAAATTTTTCTCCTGACCTTTATACAGAGCTTAAAAAAACAAATAATTTAGTATGTCAAAGTGTTTTTGTACAATGATTGGTACGGAGAACATTTAAAATTCCCATGTTATTCTTATGGAGAATATTGTAAAATGTTGTAGGCTAATTTATGGATATAATTTGATCAAACTTGGCGGATTTATTTATTTCATAATAAACTATTGATATTTTAAAATAAAAACACACTTCATTAGTTTCCCTGTAGCTAACCTAGGTACTCGCTAAACATAAATGTTAATTTAATATATTAATTGAAAATCAATCCAGGCGAATGGAAATTCGCTTAGTCGGCAGGTTTGCTGCAGCGGGGGTATTTTTACCTCCGTTCGTGGTGTGGAGTCCAGCTCCCATCTGTTTACACTGGTTTAAATCATCATAGCTTTTTGTTTTTAATTTAAAGAAATCAGTCTCAATAATGCTCTAAATTTCTCTGTTATTTTGAGTTCTTTATAGCAATTTGGTTGCTGTATTTTGTTTTCAAACTTAATTAGTTTTCCCTGATTTCATACTTATTGACCAAATTATCAATTTAATTTGTTGTTGGTGGACTTTAATATTCTAACCACATTATAACAAGAACTGTACATTGAATGGTAACAAAAGTCTGTACACAAAATGTGATAATTAAAATAAGACAACAAATTATTCTGAAATCTACAAGAACTGAAATATAACAACAGTAAATGTCACAGACTAACTTAGTTTACACAATATTCATAATCCTTAACAAAATATTAAGTTTATACATAGGCCTGATCAGATTTTTCAGATTCATTGTGCTTATAATCAGTTTGAGTTAATGAAGGACACTAAAGTGTCATGAAGTTCACTTAAACATTTTTTTTTAATTCTTGTGTTTATGGGGTTTGCAGAGATATAAACAGTAAACGGAAAGACTACCTGGAATGGCAAGAGTACTTCATGTCTGTGGCATTCCTGGCAGCCAAACGCAGCAAAGACCCTTGTTCTCAGGTGGGAGCCTGCATTGTCAACAAGGACATGAAGATTGTTGGCACAGGCTACAACGGAATGCCAATTGGCTGCAGCGATGACGATTTCCCTTGGAGGAAAGAATCTGACAACGCATTTAATACAAAATATCTTTATGGTAAGAATTGTCTTAGTTATACGTTTATTGTTTACATTCCTCAAAATGTCTCCTTTTCCACTCGTCTGACAACTTCTAGTTTTTCATTGATGCTTATAACAACATGTTTCCTCTTTGTTGATACAGTAGAGTCTCGCAAACTCGGCGTAATGGGGACTGGAAGGGTGCTGAGTTTGTGAAGTGCCGGGTTATCGGGAACTAGGGTTAAAAATAAGAACAATATTATTTTTAAGCTTTTTAACCGCCTTTTTAATTTATATTTATATTACAAGTCAGTATTAAGTCATCAGATATAGTTCAACAAATCCTTGGTACAAGTTGCGAATGATTTGACTTGAGCTGGCTTGAGTCCATGTTTAACTTGGACACGAAAAATCACAAATTTTCTGAGACGGCGATGGCCGAGTTATCCAGACTGCTGGGTTATCGATGCCGAGTTTACGGGACTCTACTGTATTGTACAAATTGTAAAACAATACAATAAAAACAATAAAACTTTTGTAACACTTGCGACGGGGAAAACCAATTTTATATATTACTCACTTCACTCACAATACTGTACATAAATGTTTACATAGCACTGACACGAATGATGTGGAAGGGTTGCATGGAATGAGCAGGTGGGTGGAGGGTGGGTCGGTCGTAGGTGTGGGAGATTCTTAATAGGTACTACAAAGTGACTCATGTCATGTGAACACGGGGCCAGCTACCTGCACCACTGCCAACAATCTCCGTTGCTCATCTTATTTTCCAATTGATTTAATAGATTAGGGTTTCAGTTTAATGGGGTCCGGTTGGATGGGATTTTACTATATTTTTTTAATACATCCCCTGAATCTACCCTCGTGCCCCATCCTGTCTGCCATCTTCACTTAGATATAATATTTTTTCTCTAGCTGTAAATTCTGCTTTAAACAAGGTTCTATTCAAAATTCTAATTCCATTTTTCGATCATTCAAATTTTGCTTTCTGACTGCTTGGTGTTTCAACTATCCTCTTGTACTACGTTTGACCGATTGTTGGTTGTTTGGTGGTATTATTGTCAACAACCTCTCCCCCCTCCCCCAAGAGTTATTTATTGATCAACAATACAATGGCCAAAAAGGTTCATCATAAATACACTGTAGTAGTAAATACATTATAGGTTATGTTCCATAAAAAGGCGTGATAAGTATTTCAGTCATGGTTTGATGATAAAGTTACATCATTATATCAATATCAGTGTTTGTAAAAAGTTTAGAAATAAAATAAAAATACCTTATTTTTTTATCCGTCAGAATGTGTCATATCAAGGAGGTGTTATATTTAATTTATTACACATGTTATCAATTATTTATTCGGTTAGTTTTTATCGATGGTTATAATTAGGCTAACTCAACACTCTAAGTTGGTTGATTTACAAGATTGACGTAGGCCTACTGTTATCAAAGGCTAAAATAGCCGCCCATTTCATTGATTTTGGTCTTTGGGATTTCATGCGTTGACCTTACAAACATATGTCTTTAGTATTGATTAATTGTGAGGTAAAATAAGATATAGTCTAACAAACAAAGCCAGTAGAGTAGCAATAATTGTATTTTACCTAAATATAATTAATATTAGGGCAAAACTAAAATGTAAAATAATACAATACTTAAAGCCCCGGTCAACGTTCATGACTGCTCCAGGTAACTAAATTTTTCATCATGACTGCTCCAGGTAACTTAATTTTTCATCATGACTGCTCCAGGTAACTTAATTTTTCATCATGACTGCTCCAGGTAACTTAATTTTTCATCATGACTGCTCCAGGTAACTTAATTTTTCATCATGACTGCTCCAGGTAACTTAATTTTTCATCATGACTGCTCCAGGTAACTAAATTTTTCATCATGACTGCTCCAGGTAACTTAATTTTTCATCATGACTGCTCCAGGTAACTTAATTTTTCATCATGACTGTTCCAGGTAACTTAATGTTACAAAATTTTGGCAGACATAAGTAGTGTATGAAAGCACAGAGAAGTCAAAATACTTCTCTGTGTTCCAAGAGAAGTCAAAATACTTCTCTGTGACAAAAGTAAGATTCCATAATAATCAATGATCCACAAAACATTAAATTTGTTACCTTTAGTTCCTCATCACTAAATAGGCCTAACAACATTAAACGACGACAACACACTATTTATAGCATTAATGTTAATACTTGTTCAATACAATTATTGAATGATAATACATTTCAATAACAATGAACTCCAATTTTTTTGGCCCCACGCGTCTCATGGGCCTCTCTTCTCGCCTGTTTCCGCTAGCCATTTCGAGGACCCCTCGCTCCCTGCCCCCCCCCCCCCCCCGTATTGCGGGCCCTTCTGTTACGCCACTGACTGTAATTTGTTTTGTAGTATGCCATGCTGAGATGAACGCCATTCTAAACAAGAACTCAGCGGATGTGAAAGGTTGTACTATCTACGTAGGGTTGTTCCCTTGCAACGAGTGTGCTAAGATTATTATACAGTCGGGCATCTCGGAGGTTGTCTATCTCTCGGACAAACACGCTCACAAAGTTGAGACCAAGGCTGCTAAGAGGATGTTCGATGCTGCAGGTGTCAAGTACACGTAAGTTTACCTTTGACAACAAAGACAAACAAAGATGGCTGTTTTTATGTTGACAACAAAGAAGTTTACCTTATTTATAAGGGGCCATACCCATATTAAGTAACATATTTTTTTGTCATTTTAAACCCCCCTCCCTCTACCATGTAACCACTGTAACCCTTGAGCAAACCCCCCCCCCCCTCCGCCACCCTTGCGTAATGTAACTCGATGATATTTGACTTTAATAACAGCTTAAGCATAATTTTACTGGTGGAATATGGATTTAAATAAATCATATTTATTTTAATGAATTTAAATAAATCATTAAACTTTTAATGCCTTTGTTTAAAAACCTTTTGTGATCCAAGCAAAACTGATACAAACAAGTTTGTTGTAATAAAACAACATAATAAACTATCCCAATTATAACTTAACTAATTTAATAAAGAACGTAAGGTGAATAAATAAATAATATTTACATCATTAAGGACCAAAAAACAAAATGTACTTTGGTATTATCTAGAGGCAACTTATTTTAGAGAGATATTTTACCGGAGACCAAAAATAACTACATATAATTGGAAAGAACATTATATTACTTTAATTGACTTACTGTCAAAATTTGTCATGATTACATGATCGCTGCCGCTATACTCCGCCAAGTAGTTATACAGCACACTGCGGCGGTTATGTTAGGTTAAGTTATCATAAATATGTTTGTGAGACATTCCTCATTTAGTTATGAACCAAACGATACCAGATGAGTCATTACCAAAGTCCCCGGATACAGGCGGTGACAGGTGATGCGTGCGCTCCGGTCAACGACCTGACCTTGGTTCAGGCAATTTGGCGTGCGAAAGTAACTTATTTGGTATCGTTCGATTCATAACGAAATGAGGAAAGTCCTACAAACATATTTATGATAACCCAACCTAGCATAACCGCCGCAGCGCACTGTATAGGGTGGCCTCCGGATAATACCAAAATAGCAAATAAAATAAAAGATTTATAAGCTAAGGAATTCGGTCTAAAAAGATTTAGATATTAATTTGATTATTTTTGTATTTTGAAAGAGGAATGTGTGCGTTACGTAACGTTAAGCCAACCCCCCCCCCCCTCCTCTTACATATAACACAGCATAACACTATGCCATACCCCCTCCCCCCTTAAGTGTGTTAGGTAATATGTGTATGGCCCCTAAACACATTTTTCAAAAATCTATTTAATTGGAAAAAGAAAGAAATACTTGTCCTGTAATGTTAGCTTGATTCTTGATTTATTCTTATTTTTTAAGGCAGACTTGTTTATTTTTATAAATAAATTATTTTCTTCTTAGTTGCTAGGTAGTGGTGACTATAAAACAAGTATATTGCAATACATATGGAGACTGCTTGTGTAATGTTTGTAAATAAGTGAACAGCTGGTTTTACGGCCCTTGGGCCGTATAAATCAGCTCGGTCCCCAAATGGCAGCTGGCATTTCGGCCCATTTGTAGTATGGCTAATAGTTGGCTATATGTAGCTTTCAGCTACCAATTAATGTTTGTAAAACGGCTAAAAACATCGTAGCGTGGTGAAAAAGATTTCCAATTAGCTGGATAATTTATCGTCTACTTTTTCAACTCTTAGGTTTATCTCTGATTTTATCTTACAGGCAGTACATTCCAAGAAACAAGAAGGTAGTGATTGACTTCTCTGAGATCAACTGGAATGATCAGACACAACTACCCCCTACCCCTGTTAAGAGACGGATCAGTGAATGTTGAGACTCAACCTTACTAACTGTACCGCCTTGTGAAGAAAAGTCATGACCAACCCCAACAGATTTACTGAAAAGGCTGTGTTTAAATGCTGTGGTTTGAATTTTACCTAAAGTAAATGTAAGTCAATTGTTTTAACTCCTGTATGTAACAATATTTTGATTGTTTTCTTGTTTTTAATTAGCTGACCATGCAAACTATATTATAGAAACATCATGTTTGCTTAACATGGCTTGAATTTTTACATAGTACTATTGTTACCTAAATTTTCATACTGTGTACTTGCTGGTTCAGTTATGAAGGTACTTTTACCAAAAACATAAGATAGGTACCTGATATGAGGTGTGTTCGGAAAGTAAGTTCTGTTTTTAATACTAAAAAAATAAGTACTGTATTGTACAACCAAGTAAAAAAAAATATTTCACCAAAAAATTACAAATCTTACTCTATTTTCCCACAATTTGCTAGACACTCGTCATAGCCTCTTGCGGCTAAAAATATGATGCCATTTCTGTCTGTAACACTGACATAGCTTTTCAAGGTGTCAAGATTTGCCAACTCTAAACTTTTCTGGTGACAAAGAGTAACATGATTCTATCACTTGCTGCTTGTTTTCAAGGGTATTATAAGAAACACAAGTTTTGTTTTTTTTAGTTTTAGTCACTATCAGCGATAAACATGTCTTGCCACCCTCGTCAGAACATGCCCATCCGTCTTGTTTGTGATGTTCAGTAAGATCTGAAGTCACACAATGTTTGAAAAGTTTATGAAAACCCAGTGTTTCTATTGCGATCCCATAAATTACTGTCCGTGAAACTTGTGGAAAATAAAAGATTCTTTATTGTAAATTTACAGGTTTTTTTATCTACAGTAAACCCTCTCTTATCCGGATCTCCCATATCCGGACCCTCCGATATCCGGACGCGATTTTGAAAAAATGCAAAAATTAAAAAAAACACTCTAGGGCGAATGTTTGTTGACCGAGCAGTCGCCGATTGTAGGCCGGTTAGACACGCCGGCGCGCCGGGAGGGTTGTGCGACGTGCAGTCTCGCGGGCAAGGTCACTGACTCACGAAACAAAAATAGAATCCCTCCCCCACCCCTCCTACCCGCCCCTCCTACCCACGCCAACGCCCTACTCATGCGCGGCGACGACAATTCATCACTCGTGTCAGTTGTCAGTGCTGCTTTTTTTGTGCCTCAGTGACCTAGTCATTGTTTGTACGGTTCGTTTTAGTTTCGGGAAGGAAGAGTGCTAGAGGCGAAATTGTTATGGCCGAAAAAAGAAAAAAGATTGTCATTACGATGGAGGACAAACTTAACGCGTTGAAACGTTTGCAAGCGGGCGAAAGTGCAAAAAAGATAGCGAGTGAGATGGGAGTGGGGACTAGTACAGTGAGTGACTGGAAAAAATCCCGTGAAAAAATAGAAAAATGGTGTTCTAACCAGGCATCAAGTTCAGGAATAAAAAAGTGCAAAATGATGAAAACGGCCGTAAATGACAAAGTTAACGAAGCGTTATTTTTGTGGTTTACACAATGTAGATCAAAAGGACTGCCCGTGTCTGGACCCATTTTGCAGGAAAAGGCTCTCCAATTTAATAAGGAAATCGGAAGTGATCCCAATTTCAAAGCCAGTGAGGGGTGGTTGGAAAAGTGGAAGAATCGATATGGGGTCAGAAAGCTTCATATAAGCGGAGAAAAGTTGTCAGCAAATGAAAACGCTGTGGGAGAGTTTAAAATGTTTTTACACAAGCTGCTTGACGAGGAAGGAATCAGCGGGGACCAGTTATACAACTGTGACGAAAGTGGTCTGAACTTTAAAATGCTACCTAGCTGCACTCTCGCTTCCAAGGAAGAAAATAGCGCTCCAGGTTATAAGAAGAAAAAGGAGAGGGTTACAATAATGGCCTGCAGCAACGTCACAGGAAACAATAAACTCAAACTCTGCATGATTGGAAAATCAAATAAACCAAGAGCGTTTAAAAACTTCAAAGATCAGTCGACATTGCCGGTGTGGTACAGAGGACAAAAAAGCGCTTGGATGAATTCTGCGATCTTCAGAGAGTGGTTTAACAATCAGTTCGTCCCGTCTGTTGAAAAGTTTGCTGAAAAAAACAATTTGCCAAAGAAGGCTATTTTATTGCTTGACAACGCCCCTTCACACCCGTCTGCAGATGAACTAACAAGTGGAGAAATAAAGTGCGTGTTTTTGCCGCCGAACGTAACCTCTTTGTGCCAGCCAATGGATCAGGGGGTCCTTGAAACACTTAAACGTTTGTATCGACGTAAGCTACTGACGATCATTATTGAGGGCATGGATGTGGGAAAGAGTGTTTCTGAGTGCCTTAAAGACACTGACATGCTAGATGTTGCCTTGTGGATTTCTAGCGCTTGGGAAGAGCTTAAAAGAGATTTAACGTTGGTTAAATCGTGGAAAAAGCTTTTGGACCACAAAGTAGACCAAGATTATAACAAAGAAGTAGAAAAAGAAACAGAAAACTGCAATGACAAAACAGGTGAAGAAATCGTTCAACTCTTTAGAAACGTTCCTGGTTGTGACAACATAGACAGTGACGCAGTGAGTGAGTGGATGAAGGAAGACGAAATCCAGGAGTTTACTGACAATGACATTATAGACTTAGTTAACGCAGACCCCGCTCCTGACGACGACGAAGAAGAAGAAATCCAGAAAACAACCATGACGCATAGTGAGGCTTTCCAGGCCATCGAACAGCTGATCGAGTATGTCGAGAAACAAGAGGAAGCAACGGGAGCCGATCTTCTGCTTTTTCGTAGGTGGAGAGACATTACGTCAAAGAAGCGTGTTAATCGAGCCAAACAAGCCACAATAACATCGTTTTTGTCCAAAACTTAACTGTGAGTACAAAGTAAGAGCTGTTCTCGTGGATTAATTTTATTTTACTCTGTATACAGCTCTACATTTTTGTTCATTACAGTAGGCCTACTTGTCTTTTTCTTAGTTCCATTTTATTTTTTCACTGTACCGTTCCTGTATTACGTAATATTTTTTGAGTTTTGATGTTATATTAAATTGTTTTTCTCAGTTCCATTTCATTTTTTCACTGTACCGTTACTGTATTACGTAATATTTTTTTGAGTTTTGATGTTATATTAAAGTGTTTTTCTTAGTTCCATTTCATTTTTTCACTGTACCGTTACTGTATTACGTAATATTTTTTGAGGTTAGTTGTTCTATTAAAGTGTTATTATAACCAAAATACCGTTGTTTTATTTAATAATCAAACGTTTCCGTATTTAAGGCTTACTAAAATTGAGTACCGTAGTTGTTGTACAGCTGTTTTCTCATCTAAAACAATGTTTCTCTCATATCCGGATTTTTTGTTATCCGGATCGGCCGGCGCCACATTAGTCCGGATATGAGAGGGTTTACTGTACTCATTAACTGCATGAAAAAGGTTGATATTAAGTGGAAATGGGCATCCACTTCTTTATCGTCACTTGGTCACGCCCTTCTTTGAACTGTCGAACACATATTCTCCCCCTTCAATCACATTTTCTCCAAAAATCTCACAGATTTTTCAGTATATGTAAACTAGTTTAGGTTTTTTTCATTATAAAACCTATACATGCTTAATTTCACTATTAAGTTATGAATAAATTATGTAATTGAATAAGTTCTTGATCAGCATCGTACGTGTTATTAAATTACTTGAGAAAACAAAAAAGATATATGTCTAATAACACTAGTAACAATTTATTTACACTTTACTGTTGACTCACAAGACGGTTAATAAATATGAAAGATGGTAAGTGGTAATCGATTTCAATTGGACACTCCAATCATCATCAATTTATATATTTTGATAACTTCATCTGAGTTGTTTCTTACTAACGCAGTCATTAAAAACAAGTTATATAGAGTGTGTACACTGAACAGCTTGTCCAATTCGTTTAATTTTGTCTACCTTGACTCACGTTACTGCTCTGCATGCACAATACTACAATCACATCAATGCCACAAAGAAAAATGGAAACAGAACATACTTTCCAAGCACACCTCACAAAAAAGTTCAATATTTTAAATGTCTCTGTTGTAAATGTTTAATGTTAACCTGCTTATATTTTCTAATCCAAAGATATGTGCCTTACATAAACTTACCAGAAAGGTGCAATTTTTAACTGTCATTTAGTGACGTAAATTATAGCATGTAAAATATATTTGTAAATGTTTTTGTAATAGTGCCTCTCTCGTAATCATTATTGTAAGTTTCACTTTTTAATATTGTTTAATAAAGACAGTGACTAAGCTAAATTTTTGTAATTTAAATTCTGCTTTGTTTGTTCTTGGCCCACGGATGTTAATTATTGTAAAATTTGTAAATTTATTTTTTTAATTATTGACACAAGTGGGCTTGTCTGCACTAGTGTAAAATTTCCAGGTATTTCTCTTTGCTAAAGGCAATAAACTGAGATGCTTAATAAGGAATCTTGACTCTGACTGTAATGTAAGAGTCAAATATTTTGCTTAGAGTGTTTAAAATTGTGTTAATCGATGATTGTTTTAATAGCCTAGACCTTAGACCAAATACTGTCATAAGAATTTAAATTAAAGATTTAAATTACATTAGACTTTTTTTATCAGAAGCAGATCGTCCTTGTCCAACAATTCAAAAATACATACTAACAAAAAATAAAAAAATACATACCGGCTTAAAACTAGTAAAAAAATTATAAAATGTTTGCTATTTTGATAAATTTTAATAAAATATACACTATAAATAATTGTTATGATAATAATTGCATTAGAGTACGGTTCTATGAAAAGGGGAAAAAATTAAGAAATTTGATAAGCTAAAAATCTGTTTCTTCTAGTTAGTTCACAGATGACATTACAATGGTAAGAAAACCGGTGATTTGATATCAGTAACCAAGACGACCTGATATACGTCCACTTTTGAATAAACTCTGAAGGAAAGAAAGTATTAACTTGCATGTTATATAATTCAGTATGAAAACTGAGTCAATAATGATTTTTAGATCAATGAAGTGATTGTTATCCTCTTCTCAAATTTGGATAATCGAGGTTCTACTTTTAATAAGATTGTACAATTTAACTTGGACTGTTGTAATGCTAATAGGCTAATAAATGGTTTGCCTTTACTTTACTGGCAGTTGATCTCTACTACTCAGTTGCCCCTACTGAAGTTAGTTAAAATTTGGTCTTAAATTATCAAAAATGTGATTTCCTAGAGTAAACTCATCTTAATAACATACTGTTTGTTATACATAATTTAATGTGTTACTGGCATACTTGTACCTCTCTAATTGTTTATGTTTGAAAGTTTTGTAAACAGAGGTAAAATTTACCTTTTGTAAATGATGTTTTATTTTTTAAAACTATATATTAAATTGTGATACAAAATATTTTTGTAACCTAGCCACAACACTGTTGGAAATGTGAAAATGGTGAATGCCTGCAATAAATTTCATAAACTATTATTGCTTGTACTTTTGATGAACTTTGTTGATGGAATAAAACCTATTTGTAAAATATATTTTAACCTCAGTTGTAGTTTTTTTACACCAAAATCTATTAGATTACTACCTATAGTCGGGACCACGAAAGTTTGCAGTTGAGGGAGGAGCCTGTTTACTACATGACTTCGAAGGAGCCAATGAGGACAGTGCGGTGTTGCCAAATCTAATAATACCAACTGATTTGAAAATATTGTTAGTACTTTAATTAGTGTCGGCAACGTCGCACTAGCCATGTCTTGTGATTGGCTTCTGCCAACTGCAAACTTTCGTGGTCCCGACTTTAAAGTAGCTTTTACCTGTTGCTTCCCCACAAGGGCATAACTATAAATAATATCATACAACAAAAGAAATAAATGGTGTATGCGTACAATTTATCCCAAAACAGGTGACACAACTGGATGCTTGGCAGTTTTTCTTTTTTTAATTTTACTTCTCTTTTTCTTCTATTGTGTGTTGTCAGTATCTACAACTGTTTATGTTTTGAAAATTCAAACTAAAAGCCACTAGGGCGGACCAAAAGGATTTTTGAAGATGAGAATATGCCTATTTGTTAGTGGGAAATGTAAGCTATTGTCATGCTGAATTTCAGCCCAATCCAACCAGTAGTAAAGCCTGGCAGACAGGTTACTTGGTTAAGGTAACTTCATATAGGTACCATAACCTGCCAGCTCTACTGGCCTCATGTAAACACAGCTTTAATGTGTGATTGAGCCCCAAACACAAACTTTCAGCTTTGTAATATGATAATAAAGTTAAAAGATTTTGGGCACATCTCACAAAGATAAACCCGTCCTGTCTAAACTGCCATGAACCCAAGCTGACACGTTTACTGTAGGTGGGCTAGACAAGTAAACTACTTACAAGTCCGGGGTGTGTGGAGGAAGAACAGTTCTCCAATAGTTTTCTACAAGTTGCTTGCGCAAAGCGTGCTGCAACAAATCTTCCACTTGTAGTTGTCAACTTTCTTTCATCTTCACCAACACTCCGCAGGAAACTAAAATTTAGTGGTTCTTTAGTGGCAGCATAGTAATTTTAAACTTAACTCTTAGGCGGCAATAACATCGCATAACTTTCAGCCACTTTTGTTGAATTAGGCTCACTTAAGAAAGTGGAAGTTCTACTATGTTACTACTGATATGTTTGATATATTTGCTTTTTCAACCCATCTTATCTTACTAATATTATAAATGTGAAAGTTTGTGTGTTTGTTTGAAGTTCAATCTCACATTAACTACTGGACGGATTGGGCTGAAATTTGGCATTATGATCGCTCACATTCCCGATTAACATATAGGCATATTCTTATTTCAAAAAACCTTTCGGGCTCCGCCCCAGTGGCTCTATAGTTCCCGATGTTAAACTTATGAGTATTCATATTGAAAGGGAATTAAAGAATTTAGTCAGCTGTTTCGACTAAAAAAAAAAATGGTTCTATGATCTGCAAAAGCATTAAAAGTTAAAAGATTTACCAACAGGGTGCAGCACTGTTATTTTTTTCATTTATGAAAACAGCTAATTAAATTTGAACTAAGTAGCAACAAAAAACTGTGATACTCACAGATAACTGTCAAAGTAGGATTGTTTACAGTTATGTCTATGTTTTTAATTTCATGAATAATTTGTGATATTTTGCGAATCTTAATAATAATAATTTATTTTTCTGTATTGCTTAGGTGAAGTGTAGAACATCATGGCTATGGTAGATATAATACATACTATAGTATACCGTAATTTCAAAGAAGCAAATTTTATCAAACTGTGTCCTCTCCCATTGCAAAATCAAAGCTTGAGTATAACTGCAAAAAGCATTCCATACTTATATGCCAATCCCGTACGAAGGACGGGTACTCTGCCAGTAAGATTATATTTAAGGCTCATGGCAAAACTGGTCACTATGTAACTAATTTAAACCATGGGATGATGCTTTAAACAGTTTGAAAATATTCTGAGAAAATATATATAACTTTAAGAAAGATATTAACAAGGTTATGTTAAAGAAAGATGTACACTCTTATAAATTAAAACGATAAACTTTATTACAAACAAACAAAACCAATAATAGACATCTGTCAAAAAAACTTAAACATTAAAACTTTGAAACTTAACTTAAATACGAAGAATCTCTTAAGAATCCTCTGAAATTTGGATAGGTTCAGGTTCAAATGTCAAATAATGTTGAAAGATATTAACGATGATTTACTTAAATTTTCTAAAACCGAGGATTGTATTGAGATTCAAAAACGAGATTGTCGCAAATAGCAATTAATTGAAAAACGTCAACGAATATAGGTTGTAAGTTATCTGAGGTGACTGTTTCATAGGAAAATATGTATTCATGTTGAACAAGGTAATCCATTGAACTACTAAACCTGATTATGAAATAGTCTTATTAGACACTTCTTAACAAATTGCCCTTTTAACTACTATGTGAATTCATTAGACAGATTTTAAGGACACTTCATATAGAAAAAAAGATAAACACTATTTTGAATTTTCGTATGCCTACTTAATTTATTTCTTAAGACTCAGGTGATAAAATAGTTGTGGTAACCATCAGTTAGTTTTGAAATACTTGAAATGTGGTTAATGTTGATATATAATTATTTGAGGACAAGATTATCAAAGTAACCACAAGCATTGACATATTAATAGTCAAAGCTTCAAGTTTCAAATACCAAAATCTGTATGTATATAAAACTTCATCTAAGTACCTCCACCAGCTGAAGTTGAAATTACAATAATGCTTGGGATGCAAATCTTGGAATATTGAAATGATAGCGGAAGCTGTATAATATTTTGCAATATTGGAAATTCAGGATGTTTCCGCGAGCTTGGTGGATCATCACGATTCCTTCTTTCATATTGAAATAATTATGCAAAAAAATATGAATATTTACTAATAAGACACTAAATTTTATTATCTACAAATCAGAAGTTAAATAGAGATCAAATTTGAACAACAAATTGTTACTTGACTTCCAAACCATTCACACAGCTATGTTTTTTCCCAATAGATTTAATTTACAAGTAAAAAAAAAAAACAATTTATATTTAGAGCATGAACAAGTTTATTTCTCTTTTGATTGATAATTGTTTATTATTCCATGTATTTACTTTGAGTTTGCTCAAGTACATCGCCTGCAGTTTTATGACTCACACATTGTGTACAGCCTGTAAACACACAGCTGTATAGAGTGTAGTTGGATGCTTTTGTCTAATATGGTAGGCTACTGTAGTTTGCATATGCTGTAAAGTTAATTTATTCTAGTTACCACCCACATGCATTAGGTACCTAAAGTTAAGTTTTATTGGCAAATATATTCTGGTAATCCCGTGTCCTTCAATGGTTGGTTTTACACGACATGGTTGAAGTGTGATGCAATTTATGAGAAAAGAATTGTACATAAAATACAATACTATGTAATAATTTTTTTTTTTATCATCATAAATAATTATATTTTAACTCTCCTTTTTTATAAAACAAACTATTTGTTTGAAAATATTCAAGTTTTAGTACTGTATTTATAATAATTTGAATTTTTAATCCTGCAATCTAGTTGATGGTAAAAAACCGAACAGGAACTAAGGATGGATTAAAAAATGGATTAATGAGAAAGTACCTTGTGGTAAATTACTATCACAAGTTTCATTGTACAACAAATTACAGTATTCAAGACAGGTAATGACATTAAATCACCGGTACATGTCACCTAACTCACTAAAAGTACAATATTTATGTACAGTTACAGTCTTACAACTTGTCTCTTATGAGTAGGCTATTGACTTTTTAATCAGTCTCAAATTATTGGGTGTTTCAATTTTTCAAATACAATATTTTTGTAATAAATGTTCAAAATTGAAACACTCAAGTATACAAAACTAAAACTAAAGCAACGTTTTCGGTGGTCTATCCTTCCACCATCGACAAAAAACATAAATTAAAATAAAAATCAACAAACTTATTTTGTACCACATTGCACAAATAATTTAAACATAAAAATCAATAGGTTGAAATAAAATGACTTGAACGATGACCCCAAGACTTAATCGCCGCAAGGATATTCTCTCAGCCAGGTGTCTTCGTTGTGGCATTTTGGGCATAGGTCCAAGTCCATTAAGAAGATGGTCTACAAAAGAAAATCCATTGATAAGGACAAACACAATAACCAGTAAATTAAGTTATCATGATCTTTTCTGTTAGACACTAAAGTAATGTGAACTACTATTAAAAACATCACAGTTAAGAGAGGATAAACATTTTGGCAGTATGAGAACTTCCGGCAGTGTCTATTGGTTCCGCTTCATGGGTGTCCAGTCTTGACTCCAAACATCACTGGCCCTTCTAGTATAAACTTAGTACTGGTAATTGGATTATTAGACTCTTGCGAAAGAAACAAATGCCGACTAATTACTGCAAACCCTTTCTCAAACCATCTTCTCTAACCATATAAAAAGATTTAACATTAACTGCAATAGTCATGTTACAGAACATTAAAATCACAGTTTTTTTAAAGCTTATTGACAACAGCCATGTTCTGTTAATACTGTTCAATGGAATGGCGACCTTACATAGTAGGTATTTTAAGCCAAGTATGAATGGAGATGAGTGTAGGATGAGTGGCGCGATCTTGTAGTCTTGTTAGTGACTAAGGCCGACATTCCTTAGACACAGCTGTTAATTACACCCCCCCACCATACAGCTATTAACAAACATACTATTAAGATGTTATAAAATTATTTTATCAAAATAGTAGCATACTAATTAAAAATACTAAACCCTTTAGATTAATTTTGTTTGAATGTTGTTCCTTTGGATTAATATCTGAATAAATATTAATTGATTTGATAAATTTTTGTTATGTTACAATCAATGAATCACTTAAAGTTAATGATTTCTCGTATTTTCCTAAAAACTGTATTTTTGTTATAATCTAAGCCCACCAGGTTGTAGTCTAAGAGGTTAGAAAGGTGAAAAATGTATTCGATTTGATCACAGACAGTGTTTACCTAATTGTAACATGACAAACCAACATTTTCAAGTTTGTATACAGTGCCAACGGATTTAGCATTTGGGCACCCCTATGCCCATCTGCTACCCCTATGCCCATGCTATCTGACCTGAGCTCAAAAATTCACAATAGGTCTAAAAATTTAAATTCATCTGAAAAAAATTCTAAATTCTCAAATTTTTTAAAAATCTTTCACCAAAATATTCAACATTTGGATTCCCGAAAGGAATCTTTAGAGATCGTTCTTGAAGAAATTAAACCTAATATAGGCTAATAGTATTAACTGAACATAATATGACAAAATGTGAAATGGAGAGATTTAATTTAAACAAATTTTCAGTAACTTCAGAATACAGTCGAACAACCACATCTGGGGGAGGAGTGGTGATATTGTCAGAGGTGGGTTTGAAAGCTAAATCATTGAACTTACAAAAAATAGATGATTTGACAGAGGATAAACTTTTTGAATGTTGTATAGCAAAATATAAGGTGAACAATTATGAAATGCCCCCTTTTCGATGTGGGGCATTCCATACCCCCCAGACCCTCCGGTAAGTCCCGCCCCACTATTGCCCAGTGGAAATCCCTAAAAATATGCTCTGTTTTACAGGCTGATTGTAAATTGAAATTTAATAGGTCCTGTAATATAGATACTGTATTACCACAGGGATTTTATGAAACAGGCCCCTGTATCACTCCGCCCCATGTTCCTTGGCGTGCGATTTGCTCCGCACCTTGAGAAAGTAGTTCCGTAAATTTTTGCAATTTGCAGTGGTTTCCGCACCTTAAAAAATGTGTTATGGTAGCCTATTTGATTTTTTTTTAGAATCGTAGGAATGGTTTATAAACTTAGGAAGGTTTAAAAGAAAAGTCCAAAAAGTTCAGATTTACCCTTGTACTCAATTGGAAAATCAAACCCTGTTCATATTTCATTTTAGGCCTAGTTCAGTTATTTAACATGAGACAAGGATCCATTGGAGCATCTAACTTAGTTCACATGGGATCTTACCTGCGGGTGGGCTGGGCAAGGAATTCGTTTTCGGCTGATCAGATGATGGCCACAAGCTTTACATACAACTAAAGCCTTAGGTCGAAGGCAAATACAGTTTTCTGGCATAGGACGGGGTTCTGTCTGCTTAGGTGGGTATCTCCTTCTTCGTGGTTGATGGCGATTTGGCATGTTTGCAGTAGTGGAGAAATCCCTAAAAATTAAGTAGCCTAAATTGTAACTTATACGGAGAAAATAAGTACCTACTAACTTAGACTTGTCCTTAACTAAGTTCTGTACAGGAAAGTTCCCAGTCTTTTAACTTAGAGAAATACTGGAGACCTGAATTTCGCTTGGCCTACATTTATTAATAACCTAGGGTACATAAAACTACCTATGTTGAGCTAATATGGCTTACTTACATAATATGATGTGTGAATTGTAAATAGGCCTTAAACTTACAAACTTTATAATTAAAATGGTCGAGATTGTATTGGAATATTCAGCAACAGCAAGACTTAACAAATATAAACAAGTTAAACAACGAAACATCTGTTTGGCCGATTGTTGATCACTTTACCTCACAATAATGCAGAAATCTGACTTCACCTGTTGTTCTTCCTTAGTTTACGCCTGAACTACTAAAGAATACTATATATAATATTGATTAAGTAGGTATGAGGCTAATTACTGAAGGTCGAAATTTAAAATTTTAATAAAAATTTGAGTAGAGAAAGGAAAGATATATTTTAGATTACAGACACAGACAAGTCGGAACAAGTTGAATCATGGTGTTAGGAGGGAGAGGGAATTGTGTGTGACTGTGTGAGTGTCGAGTCGAGTGGAGTGAGTGAGTGCGGGTGGAGTAGTGGAATGGAAAATGGAATGGAGTTGAACGAATGGAACAGACGAAGACAGAGGAACGAAAGGAAGAGACTTCCGAAACTTGACTTGAATCTGAGCTTTTGAGTGGCAGTGGCTATTGTGCATTGTGCTTTATTGAGCGAAGCTCACTTTCCCTCACTTTGTAACTTCTTTGTAAGGGCTTCAGAATGTAATGGCTTGACCAATTGTTATGAAATTTGGCCAACCACTAAAGAATACTGAGCACAACGTTTTGGTAAAAAATATTTGCAAATTTCCTTCTGGATTTTATTTTACGGGTCACGCAATTTCGCTTGTTATTTTAATGTAAGTTGAAAGAAAAATTATATTGGGTTTATGACATATGGGTTTATCTCGTTTCATTTAAATAACAAAACATATGTTAATTGTTTGTAACTGTTTTGTTTACATTTCAATGTTTACTTTCATCATAGGTTAAAGTTGGAATGTAACAGTTTATCAATGGAAGTAACAGTTTTGCTATATTTGTTTTGAGCATGCCTCAAAGGCCACGTCATAATATTGGTCGTCGCACCGATAATGCAAATATTGTAAGAGAGTGTAGAACAAATTGTAGAACAAATGTTGATTGCACGAGTACATCCTGCTATGCCCACTTACAAAGTACAAGAGCAAATGGTCAGGATGGCCAGTTTCACTACAAAGGTACAGTATGAACTATCAGATAAATTTGTCATTGTTTAGAATTTAAATAATATCGGGCAAACAAACGGTGAATCTGTTGAAAGGGAACATATTGAAGGGTGTTAGCTCTTAGCTGCTTTAGCCATTGACAATCTTTAAATAATGCTTCGCTCATTTATGCGTCTAAAGTGTAACGGCAGACCACCCTAGTTATATTGTTAAGGAGGCACTGAACTTCCAAACAGTTTTGTACGACATGCTGGTTAGGGTTCACTTACTCTACGAATCATTGACACAATGAGCCTCCAAATATGTAATTCTTAAAACACATGGCTCACTTACTCTACAAATCATAGTCTATACGAGCTTCGTAAATAATATTGAAGGTTCACTTGCACTACAGGCTCGTATACTATACGAGCCGATCAAAAATATCAAATAAATTAAGAGGGTTCACTTACTCTACAGATCATTGTGCCTATGAGCCAAGCGTATGAATTCTTGAATAATTCAGGAATAAGCTCGTATAGTATACGAGCCAAAATACTGAATTTAAATAAATTACAGGAGTAGGCTCGTATACTATACGAGCCTATTTCATGATAACTATTACACAAATAGAAGACGGCTCACTTACTCTACAGTTCATTGGCACAATGATCTGTAGAGTAAGTGAACCCTCTACAAATATTAGAAGGCTCACTTACTCTACGGTTCATTTAGCTACTCGTCGCGCGGTTTGCAGCGCATCGTTGCAGGCGTGTATGGTAAACCAATACCGCAGTTCTGCCGTTCTGCCTTACTTCTGCCGTTTACTAGTCTTGCAGCGTGAAAGAGAGCTTGTTATGTTAATGCATTGTTGAATTTTTAACTTGTGTACTCGTTGCTAGAAATCAAGCAATTATCAAGTACCGGTACAGGAGCTATTTTAAGAGTTATTACAGACTTAATTTTCAATTAATTAAAAAGACTCACGTAAAAGCTTATGCAACTAATGGAATTACTTACTGTGTTATGAACATTTCTATATAATTAAAGTTGTAAATATTTTAAAATTGTTTAGAAGATTGCCTTTTTAGTGTTTTCTACAAACGTGTCTCAACTTATACACATAGACTGGTGGAGTGGTAATTTATATTTCTAATCATTTAACTTTAAATTATGAACGCGCTTTCAGTCACGTGAAGTTGAATTAATTAAACTGACATTAGTTTTTACCATAAATGATAAACCTTTTGAAATTGACTTAATAGCTTTGTATAGAAACTATAAATATGATTTTTATTTTTTCCGCAATGATTTGCAACGTATTTTGAGTAATTGTAAAAACACAGCTATTATGTTAGGAGATATAAATTTATGCATTTTAGAACAAAATAACAGTGTCATTTATTATTTAAGTATAATGAACTCATTTGGTTTTGAGTCGTTTATAAATGAGCCAACTTGGGGGAGAGAAAATTGGGTAAAGTGTTTAGACCATGTATTCATCAGAAGTAAGACTAATTTAATTTTTCATAGTAATTTAGAAAACTATGACTTTACTGATCATGCTGGAGTTAATGTAAATTGCGTAACAAGTTGTGATAGTGCTTTGAAAGAGGAGTTTGTCAAGGCTGTAGATCATTCAATTTTAAAAAGAAGGTTGGCTGAAGTGAGCTGGATGCCAGTGTTTGATTGTGAGGATGTTGATAAATCTCTAACAGTTTTTTACGATATTTATAATAAATGTATTGAGCAATCAAGTTTTTTAAGGCCTATTAACAGTAAAAATAGGCATCGAACTCCATGGATATCGGACACACTAATTAAAAAGATAAATGAAAAAAACAGACTTCACTCTCGATTGAAAAAGCACTATGACATACATTTGTTTAATAGATATAAAGAACTCTCTAGAGAATGTTCTAATTTGAAAAGACGGGAAAAAATTAATTATTACTCATCTAAAATTGAAGCAGTAAAGGGCTGCATCAAAGTCTTATTGGAATATATGCAAATCTATTATGAGAAAGTCAAAAAATGAACTAACATCGATTAATATAGATGATGAAATTGTACAGGTTGAGGGTAATGAAAAAATAGTTGCTGACTCATTCAATAACAATTTTACTGGTATGCCGGATAAGCTGATTAGAGAATTGTATGGGCCGGGATTCCCCGCCATGCCGGATATCGGTCTAGCGTGCAGCTCAAGGTTACGTTTATCTGAAATTACTGAGGTAGAATTAGAAAGTTTAATCTTAAGCAAACCAAATAAACAGTCTGTTGGCTTTGATGGTATTTCCATAAATACTATAAAAGAAAATGTTAAGATTTTTGTCCCAATATTACGTCACATTTTTAATTTATGTATAAAGCTAGGTTACTTTCCTTCTAGTCTAAAAACAGCACTCATTGTTCCAGTATATAAGGCAGCTGATCCATTGCAAATGAATAATTACCGACCGATCACTTTTAAATACCTTTGCTAAGCTGTTAGAAACTTGTGTGAAAAGCCAATTAGTTAAATATTTTTCAGATAACAATTTATTTTCAAATAATCAATTTGGGTTCATGAAAGGTAAAAATACTGACCTAGCAGTTGAAAGACACATAAGCGAGATAGTTAATCATGTTGATGAGCGTAAACCAACAATAGGAGTTTATCTTGACTTTACTAAGGCATTTCACTTAGTTAATCAAGACATATTATTACATAAACTAAAGTTATATGGAATTCAGGGAAATAGTTTTAAGTGGTTTGAGACTTTTTTAAATGAAAGAAAACGGATGGTTAAAATAAAAAACGTTTACTCAGATGTATGTTCTCAAAGGCTTGGCGTCCCTTAAGGGGGAGTGCTTGGACCAATTTTATTCACAATTTATATTAATGACATGTTATCAATGGATTTAAAATCGAAGATATATGCTTTTGCTGATGATACATCTTTAGTATGCAGTGCTAACAATTATGATTTACTGAGGATGAAAATTAATAATGATTTGGACGTAATATCAAATTGGGTGATAAGAAACAAATTAATCGTCAATACTTCTAAATCTAATGCAATGATATTTACTTACAAACCTCATTTGACAGAGTCGTTGAAAGAAGAGATCGATCTACGTTGTCATTTAGTTACTTGTTTTCGTGATTGTTGCTGTACAAAAATAAATTTTGTTGATTCGGTCAAGTATCTTGGCCTTCATATAGATTCAGATTTAAAATGGCATACACATGTTAATCAACTATGTAAAAAACGTAGAAAAATTAACTATAATTTCTTTCATTTGAGACAGTTTATTACTCCTAAACTTCTTAGAACGCTATTTATCCTGGTTTGAATCTACTCTTAAGTATGGTTTAATTCATTGGGGAGGGACGTTTTCAACAATACTTAAACCAATTGTAATAATGCAAAAGCTTACATTAAAAACTATTTGTGGTGTAAAGAAATTTGACTCAGCTGCACCACTGTTTCAGTACTTGGACGTAATGCAGCTAGAGAAGATATATTTATATTCAAATAGCTGTAACCCGCGGGCTCTGTCCCGTTTAACTTCTTAATTTTCAAGATTATCTCGTTCGCATGGCTCAATCACGTCCTGGTTGAAGTTTGTTCGCTACGCTCACTCACCTTTAGGTTGGAGCTCGTTCGCTGCACTCACTTGCCTTCAGGTTAGCTCGTTCGCTACGCTAACTCGCCTCCAGGTTGAAGTTCGTTCGCTACTCTCACTCACCTTTTGGTTGCAAATTAGCTGTTGTCATAAATGTAAAAGAAATAATAGTGCTGCACCCTGTTGGTAATCCTTGTAACTTTAATGCCATTGAACATCATAGAACAGAACCAACTTGTTTAATTGAAACAGCTGTTAAGATTCAATAATTCCATTTCTCATAAGGTTAACATGGGAAACTCCAGAGCCACTGGGGCGGAGCCCGAAAGGATTTTTGAACTAAGAATATGCCTATATGTTAATCGGGAATGTGAGCTATCATCATGCCAAATTTCAGCCCAATCCGACCAGTATTTTTCGCGTTCA